AAAATATTTATTATAGATTAATTATAATACATTAAATAATAATAAATATTAATTATTTAATTATTAAATTAAAATTTTAACAATTTTAGTGCCTCAAATTGAACGGTGGTAGTAACATATCGAACAAAACCACTCTTTTCTTTCTTTTCTGATCACTCAATCCATTGTCTTTGATATTCCTGTTAGTAATAATAATAGATAATCTTAGTCTTAGAGATCAAAATCAGGTTTTCGAATTTAAGTTGTTTACCAACGAGTTATTGGTTCAAGCGAAAAAAGTTTGATTTTTTTAAAATAAAATCTTAAATTTGAATCTTGTGAATGAAAAAATAAATAAAAAAGTAAATACTGAAAAAGCTTTTCATTAATGAAGTCCGAGATTCAATTATGAGTTAATCGAGACCTAATGTGATTCGGAATCGAAACCCACCCAATATAATTATTAGATACAGGAAGATCAATAAAAAAATATATTTGAGTTGGTTATTTTTTGTCGGTAGAAAATCAAGAAAATCCGTCGGTAAACAGAATCTCATCGAAACAAAACCCGAGAATTTCGATCGATATAGAGACAATTCATCAGATAATTGTAGTCTGATTATTTAAGTCCACATCATATATTTTCCAATGAACGTATCATCACATCAATGGCCCCAACATTCATAATAAAAAAAGGGTTGGGGGCTGGGGGTGGAAGAAAAATGGCGAAAAAGAGTGAAGGCTCAGTTGGTGATTTTATAATCATAAAGGATCATAAAAGTAGGTGGTTCTCAACATCACCGCCTTTACTCTTTCAGCGCCCCGCCGATCTATGCATATTCAGAGATCAAAGAAAACCACAAGGAGAATGAAGAAACCCTATCGGAATTGACTCCGGCGGGGATCGAGCAATGAAGCTAAGGTTGTTGTTGCGCCGTATAAAAAGAAGAACGCACAGCCCCCCATTCGGGGAAATAAGAGTTGACACTGTTTGGTTTCAATTGTAATCAAAATTGACGCACTGTTAATTAAAGTTATGACTTTTAAGTTTTAATAATTATTAATCAAATAAAAAAATACAAATTTTATCAATTTCACTTACATTTTTTAAAGTAATTATTCAGATTAATTTTAATTTTAATAAAAAATTATTTTTATATTTTTAGTATTTTTTTTAATTCCTTAATTATTATTTTATTAATTTTAATCACTAAAAAAATTAAAAATATTTAAATAAACAAATAATTTAACAAAGAGTGAGTAAAAAACTTTTTAAAAATTTTAAAAATTATTAAAAATTTTATATAAAAAATTTTTTATCTAAATTTTTTAATTTCACACACCCTAATTATTATTTTTTAAATTTAGTAATTAAAACAGTTTAAAATTAATTTAATTTAATTTTTAATCAAATAAACCTAAATTCAATCAAATCTTATTTGTCAATTATGATTTGGTCGGTTTTTAATTTTTTTTTTGGTTGCCAATTTTTGGCGCACCGTACATAGAAGGAAGGTGAGGACAAGTTTTCGTTACGATTTTTACGATACTACCATTATTGATTTTGGGCTTTGAAGGCTTTGTTAATGGGCTTTATACCCCCTAAGAAACGGGCTTTCTATTCCCCCTTCATCCTCTTCGCAAGATCCAATTCCAAACTATTTGTCCAAGCCCGGTCAGAATTTTCTTAGTGAAAAATTATTTGTTTTCTTCTTCTTTTTTTTAAAGGAAATTAATTTATTTTCTAATTGTTTTTAACAAACAAACTTAAAATACGGAGTACATTTTAAAACAGGAATGAGGTGATGAGAGGTTTCATTTTTATGGTCGTACATTTTGAAGTAGAGTTTTTGCGAAGTTAGAGTCAATTTTATCACTTTACAAGAATTTTTTTTTTCATACTAAATAAGCTATACAATAGTATCTCCCGTTTTCTTAAACTTCTCTCAAACCTTGTCACTTATTTATGGGCTGCAATGGCAGAACCACATGGAGCCGCCTTACCATAGCTAACAAAAATTTAGAAAATAAGGAAACCTAGAAGAAGGTTTTAGAGAAAAAAATATTAAAGACTATCATAAATCTCTTTGTGTAAGAGAAAAAAGTCTTGAGAAAGAAAACCTACCCTTGATCTATTTTTTGTTCTTCTATTGTAAGGTTGATTATAATCAAGTGGGGTATTGAAGTGCTTAAATATTAAACAAGAAAACATACAATTTAGCTACTTAATTATAATTTTTGGTTGGTACATATAGAGATTAAAGGTTTAAATATTTACATATAACATATTTTTTATTTTAAATAAGTGCATATAAAGACTCAAGGTTTCAAATTGTGCACATAAGTACTTGAAGTTTGTTTTAAGTACAAATAACCGTTTAAAATTTCTTAAAGTGTCTTAGAGTCTATTGACTTAGAATAATGAAGAGGAAAAGAAAAGGGTAAATACCAAGTTTAGTCCTCAGCCTTTACCATAAATATTAGATATTGTCCTAACCTTTTGTTTTGACCAAAAATGATCCCCATCCTTTTCAAACTACCAAACATAATCCTAGGGCTAGTTATTTCTATTAATTTTCAAAAGAAAATCTTAACAACAATTTTGGGGGGTTCAATAGAAATTTTTACATAATATTCTTTTAATTTTCATTGTTCTAAATTATTTTTACTAAATTTTGAATTCTTTACACACCTCAACTTTTCGTTTTAGAAAAATGTTTGGGAATTTTTTTACTTTACATATAAGGGTTTATGTATATGTTACATGCTAGAATCCTATCATTTAAGATGGATTTTTATTTTATATTTTTTGATGTCTTTTTATAAAATAGTATTTTGAATAATAAATAATTTACAATAAAAAATATTTGGGTTATGAAATTTATTATATTGTTAAACTATCAAGTTATGTTAAAAGTTTTGAAGATTAAAACAGGGGGTTTGCATTAAGTAAAAGGTTAAAAAAAATGATCTTTGGAGTTTCCAAAAAACCAAAAAATAAATAGTTCAACAATGTTAAAGAAAATGAAATATATGTTTGGTGTTGAAAAAAAAATGGTTTAGGGGTTTTTTTATTTTTATTTAAGAGTTTTGTGTCTTTCTAAAATTTTTATTAGGATTTTTTATTATGAATTTTTAATGGAAATGATCAACTATAGAATTAGATTTGACAATTTTAAAAAGGTTCAGGACCATTTCTAGTCTAAATGAAAGGTTAAGATAATATTTAATATTTATAGTAAAGATTGGAGACTAAATTTACTATTTACCTAAAAGCAAATAGGGGTATTTAGGACATTTCATATAATCTTAGATGATTATGTGCATTTAATACAAAATCTTAGATACTTATGTGCACAGTTTGAAACTTCAGGTCTTTATGTGCAGTAAACTCAAACTACAAATATATTATGTGAACATTTTAAAATCTTAAATATTTAAATATATATATATATATTTTTTCCTCCGGTTCAAAGATAATCTACCATTCTATGGTCGGATAGCGATTGATTTAATTTGATTGATATTGCAACTTGTGTTACCTTGCATCTTAAGGATCTAAAGTCTAAACCTACTATGAGCTACCAGCATAAGTAATTTCTCATAATTCAACGTTTCTACAAAACTCAAACAGTATTTTTACAAAGCCCCAATTAAATAAAAGCTCTAAATCTTATAATCAAGTGGAATCATATAATATTTCTTTTTAATTATACAAGTAAAAAAAAAAAAAGGGTCCTTAAATAGGTTATCTTTTGTTTATAAAAACTATGATAGCTTAATAACAACAGTTCATTTCTTTGAGGAAGAAAAATTATCGAGATATCCTAAGTTATTCAATAATCACTTGCAGCTATATCTGGTTCATGCATGAGGGTAACCCCAAATTCATTAGGGACCCTGTTTCCATATTATCCAGGTTGGCATGAACCCAAGAACCCCATTTGCAGCCTTGCCCCATATCATGTCAAAAAATGGCTAGTTTCCATTCACACAGCTCAAAGTCTCAAACATCCCAAAGGGGCTTCTCCATTGGTGAATCCCGATGAGAGAGCTGGTGCTGGAAATGGTTCATAAACCTCTGTTGTTGCCTCATTGCTTCAAGTTCCAATCTTTGTTGCTGTTGTTGATGCTGCTGCTCATGTAAATTAGCTCCCCTTTGCCCCCCAATCCCCATGAAATCATGTAAATTTCCTATGTTACTCTGCCCTGTTAGTTCCCTGTCCATAATGGCGTGATCCCGACTGTTGATGAACATGCTCGTAATCATTCCCACATCATTCATGGCTAAGCCACCCGTTGCCGCTTCAAAGAGTTGGGGGCCATGGAACATTTCTTGTGGACCCTTTTGCATGATCTGGTTGGAGAATCCTCCGCCGCCAATTCCCATCATGTTTGATTGAACGGTGGGTGATGCGAAGTTATCGTATGCATTATTACTTTGCGGCTGAGTTGCATCAAAAGGCGGTGGTCTAACAGAGTCATGACCCGCCATGGTGTCGACGAAACCTTTCTGCGTCATTGGGGAATTTATGCCATTACTTGCCGTTGCACCCATCTGAGCTGCTTTCTGTAACAGGGCAGTTGCAGACATGTTCGCCAATCCCGAAATTTGGCATCCGTTTTTGCTGTCTTGAACGTAATTAAACCCAGACGAGGCGTTGGAACTCAGCTGCAGGCTGGCGGTAGACGAGGTGGATATGCTTCTCGGACCACCAAACAGATTCCCAGAGCTGCTGGAAAACATGGCCCCTGATCCTCCTCCAATGCTTATGGACTTAAATGGAACCGGTATCAGCTCCTGTGGAAGAGATTTGAGAGGGTTTTTGGAATCGAAACTGTTGAATTCTGATATTCCTCCCATTGAAGTACCATTGATAGGGTTGTTCATGAGTTCTACAGGGATTTGGTTCGATCCCATATTGTTGTTCATCAGTCCTTGATTTACCTTGTTGTTTTCTTCAGCTAAAGCATCACAGAAAGCTCTGTGGGTTATGAAGCTGTCTCTCCTGCTCAAAGAAACAATTATGAAATCAAATCTATATTATGATTATGAAATGATTTGTAATCCTGAAAGAGACAAGATACAATACAAGGTTTGTCAAAAAGGAAAAATTGAAAGCATCTAACAATTGTCGGCCATTGCCTAACATGTCTTTCTCAAAATTCGTACAAATAGTTTGTCTTTAATTGAATTTAAAACGCATGACTGAAAATATCACCTGACTGTAGGACATACTGAACAGTGTACCTGGAAAAGATCGCTCCGCAATCACATTTATATTCCTTGGTGCCACAGGTTTTTTGGTGAGCTTTCCAATCAGACTGAACTGCATATTTCTTGGAGCACTTGTCACATTTCCATTTCTTCTCTCCATGTTTCCGGCTGAAATGCTTCTTAATTCCGGTGAGGTCTCCCAGGGCACGAGCTTGGTTGTGGTGGACACAGGTCGGTTCAGGACATATGTAGACTCGTTTTCTTACCTCCGTGGTGGTTCTTTGCCTCAGCTTCCATGGAAGGTTGTGACCTCTGCGGTGCAATTGCAAATTCTGGTCTCTCTGGAATCCCTTGTTGCATATCTCACACACAAACCGGTTTGTTGCCATTAAGGTTGTTGGAGATAGAGCAATGACTTCAGCATTTGGATCTAATTCGTTCAAATAATTAATCAAATTACTACACAATTGATAGGAAAAACGAAAAGAGGATCTAATTAAAACTATTTTAAGTTAATAGCTCAAATTAGATAGACAAAAAAGGAAAAATGAAATAGAAGGAAACAATATAGCAATTATTGCATATATCATATAATTTATCATCAGATATATTAAAAAAGAATGGCAATTATTGTAATCTCTTCCTAATAATTGAAACTTTTAATGTAACATATAAAAGAAAAAGAAGACAAGATTAATATCATGGATAAGCACCCAATTCCTGCGATCAACAAACTGCTATACATAAGTAGTTTGATGTTATTAAAGAAAACATGTTCTCTATTTATTCATAAGAACTAAAAAAACATAGTTAAGACTTACGAGGTTGGGTAAATTTACCTGGAGTTCCTGGAAGATTCCTTTTCTTCTTAACTGGTTTCTGTTGCTGTTGTTGGGAGGAAGAACCATTGTTGTTAGAGGCCCCAGAAGGTCCGGTGGTGCCGCTGGAGGCATGGAGGTTTTGTTGTTGCTTTTCTTGAAGCTGTTGGACTTCATCTCCTGAGATGTTTGACATTTGAATATACAAAGCTTGGTCTGTCCTTTTTCTCCTTTTCCAAACTGTATTGTTTCTTTTCTTCTTGTTGTTGTTGGGTTGAGGGTGTAAACTGAAAAGTGGGGGCTTGTATTTTCGTCGAGCAGAAAATCAGGAAACTGCCATGACTAGAGGAGGACAAAAAGCAGGGAATTCTGCTTCATTTCTGGGTGAAGAAGATGACTCTTTGCACCTGACACAGAAGTAACATTGGAACCCGAGTCTCTTTTGGCTTTATACAAATATATTTACAGTGTTCCAAATGGACAACTACATGGAAATACCCCCAATTTCCGCTGTATTAATGTCGTTGCCATTATAAAATAATTTCCAGCTTATAATTTAATCATTTCCTCATAGACCCCTCCGGATTCCATTTTTTGTGTACTTTATGCTATTATTGTTTGGAAATAAATGTTATAATTATAATTTTATATGATGTTTTAAATTTATAATATAATAAAATTTTATATAATTAATTTTTTATTTAAAAATATATTTATAATATTATATATATTTATTTAGTATTATATACTATTTTATTTAATATAACATAAAATTATAAAATTATAATTAAACGTAATATCATAATTATAATATTTTTATATTAAAAATTAAGTTTCCTAAATTGTGTTGGATTACATAATAAGAACTCTAAGATGAGGGGTGAGCCTCTTATTGAATTCCTTTTTCATAAAAAAAATTTTTATTTTATAATTTGATACAATTTGAATTATAAAATATGAGATTCTTATAATTATACTGACTTCTATAAAATTATTGTAACAATAAATGTTTTAAAAAAATCTTAAGTAAATACTCAATACACTTCTGTTGAAATTCTTAAATAAGTAATCTCTCCTGTCAAATTTTAAATGTCTCAATTTATCTTTACATAAAGTTTGACAGATAATTTTATATAATAAATAAATAATAATTAATTTTTTTCTTTTTATATGTAATTTTTGTTAAATATTTTTACTTAAATTAAAAATTT